GCGATATAAATTTCATAATTGTAGTTGAAGTTTCAATATAATAGTAAATTTTTCATTTTAGTCCTTATAGAAAAAAAATTATGAACTCCACAACTATTCAATTATTGTTGGTGACACTGTTTACATTTTTTATGGACAATGTGCTAATGTCGCCAGATTATCGAGGTGCTCGTGGGTCGATATGGGAGCTTTGCATTCGAAAATGTGATGGTAAGTTTATACATGTACTACTTGATAGCCGTTTAAAATAAAACATTTTCATACTTGCTTCAGTGATCACAACACCAGAGAAAAAACGTGAATGTACAGATCAATGCAAAAATTTTGTCTCATCGCCGATACCCGGAAAATAGAGGAAATCTTTTTATATACTTTTTCATATAATTATATGAAAATAAAACGTTTTCCAATCTGAATTTTCTTTCCTGAAGGCCAAAAACAAAATCTATCCAAAATATATTCAAGTGTCCAAAATATATATAATTATTATGCTGTCGTTTTAATAAAAGATCCTTATAGTAAATTATAACCCAGATTGTTTATTTATGAACCTGAATCTTTTACATAGTACTAGGAAAATCCTTAATTACACGTAATTACAGAACTACCTTTTAGCTTAGTATATTTTCCGGTGTCACTTGATACTTAATAATCTTGTAGTTAAAAAAAAATAACTTGCAGTAATTTTTGAAGATGCCTTTTATTAAAATTATTTTTCATTGAATATATTTTAGTAAGAAAAGTGTATTTCGAAAGTAAATCTGATTAACAGTAAGCAATATTTTTAGAAAATTCTTCTACAATTTGCAATGAGATTAATTAATAAAATAATTCTTATTTCTTTTCTTTTTTTATTTTTGTTATATTTAAAAAAGGACTGTATAGTTCATCATTTGTTCATAATTTTTAATTTAATATATACCTCTTTTAAATAGAATTTCTTATATAAACAATATATCTTTAGGAAAATCAGCTATATCTATTATTATTGTTTGATTAATTAATATAAAATTTAAGGATTAGTATTTTTATGAGTAAGAATGATACAATAAGTAAGAATGATAAAAAGAGGAATTTTTAATTTAATTGAAGATATGAGGAAATAAAAATTAATTGTATGTTAAAAAACTGAATAAAATTCGATCTTTTATTTAAATAAATCTTTTTTCCATTTTCATTCTCTTAATCTCAACGTAATTTCGACAAAATCAGCATTGTTCCCATTTTTTACCCTTTTTCATTGTGGTGCTGTTTTAATTGGTTTAATGTCCACTCTCTTTCTCTCTTCACGGAAAGGGATAAATTAAAAATTCTTGGAATAAGATGATTCAAATGTTCTATATAATAAATACGGAACCTAAAATATGGAGAAAGGTACATCAAATAAATTATTTATTTAAATTATAATTATTAAGGTTATAGCCTCACATCGCTGAAAATCGTAAATATAAATTAAGTAAACTATATTTCTGGGAAATGCTAAGGGCGAAACTACATTATAGCCATTGGAAACTGCAATTTAAAATCTATGGTGTTTCACTGCCGAGTCTGGCCTTTACAAATCAGATCCAGCGATTACGAGGAATTCTAGTAAGGACTTACGAAGCCCTTTGGTATAATCGTATTTTCAGATTTTTTTTTTTTTCAAGGACACCCTTGACGCCATAAACACATACATGCAAATGTCACTTGCTGTACACGCTCAAAGAACATGCAAATAAATTCTGATTTTTGCAATACGCTTTGGTAAATTTTGTTTCTTCGATCTGATAAAATTTGATATAAGAAAAAGTTATTTGTTAGTTCTGAATATCACATTATTTTTTTATTGATTTTTATTGCCAATGATTGTTATAGGCTTCCTTAAGGTTTATAATCGATAAATTAATATTTTCTAAAAACAAGTTATAATGAAAACTATTGATCGTTACTATAGAATCGTTGTAATATTGACAGTCATTTAGTTTTATTTAATATTATTATGGAAAGTTTATTTATATATTCTTTTAATATATAAATGCATTGATAAATAAATACATCAATAATTTCACTATTGATATATCTTTACTATACATATTACTGAATGTTTATTTTTAAATTACGTTTTTTCTCCGTTCACGACAAAATATTTTATTATAATAATAAAGTTTATGGATAATATAGTTGAATTATAGATTTTTAAGAATTTAGTTATAAATTGAAGATCGTAATATCTGCATTTAATTATAAATATCAACTTTCATTTTAAATGAAAATTTAACTTGTATGTAATTGGAAAAATATGATAAATTAATGTATTGGGACTTAATCATTTTATAGTGAAAACAAAACTATTATTCATAACTTTGCCGTAATACTTAATAATTTGTATTTACTATATTAGAACTATTATACTTAATATGAGTAAATTATTCATAAATAATAATGAAATATTATTTTCATAATTACGAAAAATTATATGAATATAATCAATTTTGAATTTTATATTTCTTACATACTTTTATAAATCATAATAATAATTCTTAAAAGAAAATTCATTTTTTCATAAATTATATTTTAAAATTAAATAATTTCAATATTAATTTTTATAAATGATAATATAGGGATAATACCTATTTGCTATAAAAACTCATTTTTTATAATAATTTAAACTATTATTATTAACTAAATAATTTAACTATTTATAATTATATATTAATTTGGAATGAAAAAGTGTTGATAAGCATAAAATAGATATAACCAACAAGAAACATTAATGGATACATTTTCCTGAACATGAAATTCATTATTCACGTTTATTGATAATACTAATTAAAGATAACAAAATTTTCAATATTTTCCACACCATATCATTACAGTTTTTGCACTATTTTTCTAAAGTATTGATATATTCAATATTATATTTTTTAAGTATAAAAGCCTAATGTATACATTATTTGTACGATATGCAATTGAATACACATGCAGTATAAAAAAAGTGATAGTTAATTATTGCGTTGTCATATTACCCAACAGCTAAGTTTAATAATTTTAGAAAAGAAAAATATTTAAACGGTATTATACATCAGATAAATAACATTATTAACCACATTATGTATTTAAATCCTTACAATTATATTATCCAGTCATGCATTGCAAAGGATATGCCGTATCATTAATAACAGAAGTATTTAATTAATTAATTATCAATATTATTTTGTATAACTAAGTTTACCTCATTAAATTACAATTTAAAACAAAAGAAGAATCATAATTATTTCTTATTTTATAAAGTGTATTGTGATTTGATGATGTTTTACTGTAAAATTTCACACCTCAGATTGGCTAAAACATTTTCTAGTTATAAATATATTTACAGTCAATGAATAATTCATTTTATTGAGATATTAAAGAAATCGCGATATCACTGAAAATATTATCAGATTTTTATATAATTTTTATATAGTTTAAGCTATTTATATTTATAATATAATATAATATAAATATTATTATATAATAAATATAAATATAATAAAATATAAAGCTATTTATATAATTTAACTGTATATACAGTTTTTATTTCCATAAATAGTATTAATAATAATTCAAAATCGAAAATAAGAAGGCTAGCATAAAATTTATGAGATTCTAAAAATATAATTAGATAATTTAATTTTTTAATATAATTACTGAAATCAATATTTTTACAAAAAATTAATTTTAACTGTCGCGAATTTAATCGTTTCTTTATTACAAACCAATATTTCAATATTATATTTACGAGATAATATTTAAAATTATAACACGATCATATTATAAACTTAATATAATTATATTTATAATTATGCAATTTTAATATTGAAAATCGTTAAGTACTTATATATTTAACTTTTTACTTTTATTTAAGAAATAGATACGAACGATTTCATTTTATAGTAGTTTCAATTTATTATTCAACGCATGACTTTGATGTAATCAGGTACTTTGAATTTACAACTTTTGTTAGGCGGTAAATTCTGTAATTATCTTACAAACGTTAGCATGACTTTAATTTTTATTCAATATAACATTTATTCATACAATAGTAGGATTATTAAAAAATTATATGAAAAAAAAATTGTAATTGAATTAATATTTATCATTGTTAAATAAGAAATTTCAATGTTCGTTTTTTTCAAACTTTTTTTTATTTATATTTTTTTAAACTACTTGTATGTTAGTTCAGAAGCGATAATTCGCCATTTATTTTAATATTTATATATTTATGATTAAAGGAAAATTATAAGATTACCAAAGCGTAAATGATATTTTTAATAAATTGTTAGTATATAAAAGGGCAATTTATTCAATTAATTTTATTTTATTTATAATATTTTATGTATACATTCAAAATAGATATAATTTTTGTATACGTAATTTTAAATATTTTAAATAATTGTAAAATAAATTTCAATTAAATCGTACTTTTTATTCTCTTTTTCACTGTTTTATATATTTTAGTTAATATTGTTGATTGATTATTTTATCTTATTTATTTAAATTGTACTCTTTACTTTAAATATTGTTTTAAATTCTAAATATATTATAAATCATCATTTAGTAATGAAACTATAAAATATTAGTATTTCATTCATTTTATACGTACATATTTGAATGTAAACAATTATTTCAATAAATAATACAATGTGATTAAAAATGCTTTTTAATGTACTTACTGGTTTTTATAATTATGTTTTCATATATTAATTGAGAATGTTAGATAGAGAAATGTAAAAAGCAATTTTTCAATAATAATAATTTTCATGGCATTACATAAATTATAATTTTATTTAATATTGAAACTATTTAAAACACATAACATTTTAATAATTAACTATTTTTCTGTGATAATATTTTTAATAATGAGAACAATATCTATTTTCATCACAGCATAATGAAAATTTAACAAATAGCTTAATAAGTATATTTTTATTATTTCTTTATTTGCACAGATACATTGGCTAAAATAATATATTTGCAATTATGTCAGTATATTGATAATTTATCGTTGACGAAACTCTGAAAATAATTTAATTTAGTTAAATTTTATATAAGCAATATATCTGTTTAATATACATTATGAGTACATCGGAATAAAGAATAAATTAGTTTCAGGATTCATACCTTCAGTGTCATTATTAACAGTGACGTCTGCATCTCCTCCTCCTTTTCCTTGTTGCCAATTCTAAAATAAATTTCACAATTATTATTCAAAACAGCCATATGAAACTATGAGTATTAATTGTAATTATTCGTAATAGCAACTTAAATAAGACTCAAACAGTTATTATTATAATTTAAATATTACATTATAAGAATATTCCCAATAACATATTCAACGATATAATATAGAATAACAGTTTATAAAATTTAATTAAAATTACAAAATAATAGATATTTTATAATTTTAGATTAACATTTAAAATTATGTATTATAATTTTTAAACATATCAAACGTTTTAATTAATATTTCTTATACTGATGAATTATTCGATTAAATTTGCAGAAATTAATGCAAATACAATTTACTTACTATTACAATCATTGATGCATGATTGCTTTCGTGGGCTTCCTAAGCATTCTAAACAAAAATTATTGTATTAATTATTATAAATAATAATATATACCCTGTAACTATAAATATGTACCCTCGATAAATACTGAGCAAAAGATGACAATACATAAGAAAAATATTAAAAGTTTCATTTTAATTAATCAATATTGACATTCAGACAAAAATTAATATATTTGCATTGCTTTCGATTTAGTTCGTCTTTTTATACTAAAAAACTAATCATTAATAAACAAGAATAGTGATTCGTGCACACGAAATCTTTTTGTTTATTACCTCGAGTTTCGTAAGAGTATTATATTATTTGAATATTACGCTTCTTTTTAAACAATAAAATTATTAAAAATAAAAATTATTTTTGGTAAAGTATATATCTATTATTCATAAATTTTATTACTTTTGTCATTATGTAGGAAAAATGCTAATTCTGCAATAATGTATAGAAATACTATCAAATTATTATTTATAATAAAGTGTTAACAATTAAATTACGTATAATTAAGATAAGTAATTTTTTTATGAAATTGGACATGTTAAAATAGAATAAGGATATTTAATATTTCTAATATTTAAATAAAGGAATTTTTTACTTTTCTCTTTCAAGTATTATTAATATTTAATTTCGATAATGTGTTTAATTGCCATATATATGAGTATCTTCCAATAAATTTCAACATATTATTAAAAAATTAGCACATCGAATAAATAGTTGTGTATTATCGTTGTAAATAATTTAAATAAACAAATCATCTTTTATGTATATAATTTGATTTTTGTGATATGTGTATATTTAATAATATATAATTTATATTATTTTATCTCAATTACTATAAAAATTCAAATTTAATAAAATGTATATTTAAACTACTCTCTTGTACTAAAAAGGATGTGACAATAATACCTGAAAATAATGTGGAATCGAAGGGGCATGTAATATGTAAGGGCAATCATGTTGGTGGGGGAAAGAGACGTATAGGTGATGAGATCGACGCCCATGGCGTTCGAGGTGTCTCCCTCACTCAAGTGACTAAAATGTTGCTGAATCTCGATGATTAAACAAATTCCGTCCATGAAAGTTGTGCTTGAAAGTACATATTTTATCCAAAATATAATTTATCGATTGTATTCTTCTAGTTGTTTTCGTCAATAAATAATTTACAATATGAATCTGATAATTAGAAAAAAATTTTTCTAGACGTAGTAGTCGAAGTAATATAGATTTTTTATAACTAATGTAATATGAAATATATAATATGAAATATAATATGAAATATTTTATGTAATGACACTCGCCGCCCAATAATTAAACAGAACTGTAAACAGGATTCGAGCTACACACTATTAAAATTAGGCGAAAAAAGGCTATCGGTAACTTTAAAATATGAAAATATTTAATATGAAATTGGAAGTGGAAATAACTACTCATTCACGCTGTTATTGATCAAACGTTGCAAGGATATTCGAAGTGATTAAGGTGATCGAAAGCAGATGGAAAAATAGAGCCTAACTAAAGTACGATGTCAATGAGAAGAAAGAATGTTTTCCAATTCAATAAATACCAACGGCCCAATATCTGTTCAGTATACAACTGAAAATACGCTTGATTCTAAAATGTTTATCATTCTATTCTACTATTCTTAAAATTTTTATATTAAAAATAAAGTAATTTTTTATAGCTATATAAGATATACATATATATATATATATATATATTATATATAATTAAAAATCGATAATATAGACAAGTTTCGCCTAACAATAAAAAAAATACTTGATATTATATATTACAATGCAGCCCAAAATGATATGTTCATAATTTTTTATTTTTAATAATAGTGAAGATAATTTAGTATTTTTTTTTTCATTAATTTAATTTTATTAATTTGAAATTTTAATTACCATGCTGTAGAGTTCTAACACGAAATATTCTTATTAAAAATTTCAAAAAATTCTTTTAAGTATTTCTAAAAAATAAAATAAAGAATAAGAATAATGATAATGAATCATTACGTGCAATTATAATAAATAATTGAGATAATGAATCATTACGAAATTTTTTATTATTATATTACATCAGTATTTTTAATTATTCTAATTACTTAAGCACACATGCATACACGCGCGCGCGCGCGCGCGCACACACACACACACACACATAATTCTTAAAGTATATTTATGTAATTTTTTAAAACTATTTTTTAATACTATTATATAGTTATAGTTTGTGTACTATTACATTAGCTAGGAGAATTATTAGACAAAATATGTCGATATCATTATATTTGAGAGAATATACTAATATCGAATATATAAAAGAATATATACAAATATATCATTATATTGCATTTCCATTATCAATCCTTACAATTACAAGCTGATCTAAATGCATTACGTGTACTTTGGTACAAATATTTATTTACAGGCGTCAGCTTATTCATTCTTGATATTACACCACAGTGTATTTTAAATTTTAAATCTATGGATGTCAAAATCATTGTTAATTCTTAAGTTGTAAATAATATAAATCATCTTTAAAATTACATGATTAATGATTTATTTTACCTATTTAACGTCATAAATTTCTCTATAATATTAACTTTATTTTATACTAGATAATTTAAAACTTCGAGAGCAATAATAATTTTTATTTGTAATATCGAATATGGAAATATATATATATATATATATATATATATATATATACATACATAGCCTAAGTACAGATAGAATATTATTATTCTTTAATTTACCTTTTATGATTGAAAATAATTTTTAAAAAAGATTGCTAATTTTCATAATAATGAAAATTTTATATATGTATGATAAAACGAAGATTAATATCAGACTTGAAAGGAATATTATTTGACGTATAGAATTAAAAATTTTGAAGTTGTAATTATAAAAAAAATTTTAAATAATTTGAAATAAATATTTATATTTTATTTTAATATCTCCTATAGGATAGTTCATCAATTTACTTACTAAATGTATGGTTCATTATTGAGAATTTCAACCAAAAGCTTGATTTATAGTCCTGAAATATATATTTACTATATCTAATTATATCATAGAAAAAATGAGCAAATATGTTTGATTTCCGTTTAAATTTGATATAAGTTGCCAATTATAAAACTGTATAAATATTATGAATAGTTTGTTATATTTTTGTATAATAAATATCACAAATAAATAATATTACTATAATGATATACTGAAAATAATAATATTATTAAAAGTGACTCTGTGTTCATAAAATTGTCCAAATAAATTAGCTAATACAATTTCTAATTCCGAGAAATTAAATAAACCGGTTGAACTATATTTTCAAATTAAATCCATTTTGATGAATTATTAAATGATATTTACATTCTAATGTAAAATATTTGCAATTAAAAACTTTTTAATAAATGCTGAATAACTGAAATGTCATATTTTCAGAAATGTAAAACCGATAATAAGCAAAATATAGATTAAAAATTTTAGAAAATTTAAAAAAATCATTCTATTATGCTAATGAAGAGAAAAGCTTATAAATATTTTAGTGAATGTTAAAATTTGTTGAAATTAATCGTTTTTAACGCAATAATATTTGGAGTGATGTTACGTTTACAAATATATAAATATATTTTTCTGCATCGAGTACGACATGATCTAATGTCTGAATAAATTTCCATGGGCATATACGGCATGATATCCACGAAATAGTCGACAATCTGCACCCATCCGCAGTCATCCATTATAGATAAGAATAGTCTTATCGTCTTTAAATCAAACGTAATAAGATATATCGATTACACGAAGGGGAACGATTAGTTTTCGAGTCGCGTATCGCAAGCCGCGCGAATTGCTCACTCCAAATGCACGAGCCCAGACACGCACGTTGAGATCGCAATACAATGAAACACATGTACACGGCGAACCATGGCCACCCGCGCAATACTTTCGTGCACAATACATAGTTATGAGGAGAAGTCAACGAAACCAGCGAGAGTGAAAAAGAAGGAGAGAGTGTGAGAACGCGTGAGCGCGGGAGGACGGAACGGAGGAAGACAAAAACGTGCGTAAGGAGAGGTGGGGGTAGAGATATTGGTATTTTATGTGATACAAAGAGAGATGGCGAGATGCACGTACACGAAAAGAGAGAGAGAGAGAGAGAGAGAGAGAGAGAAACGAGACATAGAGAATTCCAATTTATGTAGCCTATGTTTTATATGTATATTTGTGTATGGATGTGTTTGTATATATGTACATATATATAGAAGCGCGAGCACGTGTGCGTGTGTGTGTATGTGAATATATATATACATATATATCAGTTTACGCATATGTAGATGTGAATGGGGATGGGTAGACGCGCATGTGTTTTCTGCGCGGCAATCACGTCTCCCAAGTATAAAAGAACTTACGAACTTAGCCCAAGTCATCAGTTCTCTAGTGATCCACTCGTTAAGAAACATGGATTGTCAGGTAGGCGTATAGTTCGAGGGACTAATTAACAAATTTCTACGTAAAACCATCTCTTATTTTGCTTTCTGTTACCACTAATTTTTGTAGCATTGCTCGTTTGAAGTATCTCTTTAAGTTATTGAATATATGCTTAGATAAATTCTTGTAGGAATTAATGACTGGCTAATTTTATTTTTACTATACTAACTGCATTTATAAAATTATTTAATTTATTATAAATTTTTTTATACATTAAATGGATGGTTTGTAAAAAATCTTGGGTAAATAATAAATGGATTGCTAAAACGAAGGTAAATACATGAAATGTATATATATATATATATATATATATAAAGGGAATCTTAATAATTTCGATGGTATTAACTCTCCGAGTAAAGCGATAGAAAAATTCCATATATTTTTATCTTTAAGTGGACCTTATCCTAGACTAATTCTAATATAGTTAATGTAAGCGACTGAGGGTCCAACTGTGCAGATAGAGGAAAAAAGGGAATACCTAACGAATGGACCCTAAACGATTATCGTTAGCATAATAATGTGAATAAAATGAAAAAATTAGATTTACTGCAAATGCTTTTACTAGACTCTTGTTTTATTTTTTTCAATTAATTTAAAATATAAAGCTCTGTATAGTTATCCGCTGGGGAAAGAACGGACCTAATGTCTACCTTTACAATTATCGTTGTCAACTTGTGATCACATTAATAACAAATAAAGCAAAAATTATTCTTTTAGACAAATTTAAGTTTGAATCGCTTGCAATTTCACACGCCATCTTCTAAGCGTCTCGGTACATTGAAACGATCACCAAGACAAATATTCATCGGAAATTTAACGCCAATAAAATGCTTGAATGTACAATCAAATGGAATATTCCTTGTATCCTTATAAAACCTTATATTCCAGAGTCCAGTTAGATCGCAACTTGATGAAAAGACAATATTTTATTTTTATCCACTCAGTGCATTCTTCTACTGGTTGGACTGGCTGCCGTCAGCGGCCTTACCGTCCCGGTCACCCAAACCGTAACCGTCGAGGCCAAGCCAAAAGAGACGCAGCCGCACTACAGTTTTGCCTACGACGTGCAGGATGCGCTGACGGGCGACTCCAAGGCTCAATACGAGAGGCGCGACGGTGACGTCGTCCAGGGCAGCTACTCGCTCATCGAGGCCGACGGCACCAGGCGTATCGTTGACTACACGGCCGATCCCATCAACGGCTTCAACGCCGTTGTACATAGAGAGCCGGCACTCGTCACCGAAGTCAACGCGGCCGTCGTTCCAGGAATCCCGGCTACGCTCACGAGACCGAGCGGCGGTGTAGGCCCGAAGCCTCCGCAAGTGCCCACCACCGGCCCCGACTCGGACGTCGAGGTGCTCGACGCGCGCTTGAGCCAGCAGTATCAGGAGCAGCGACCCCGACTTCAGAGCAAACGACCAAGAGCCCAGAGCCTCCGGGTTCGACCTCGCCAAGGTAGCAGCGATAAACTCGAGTTGACGCCGGATACCGAAGAGGTAGCGGAAGTAGCCACGCGCGAGTCAACCCCGGAGACTATTGAGCCCGTGGCTGCAACCCTACCCGTATCCGCTGTGCCAGTGGCCGATGCCGTCGTGCAGAGGACTTACGCTACTCCAGCGACCCTGGCCTTCGGTTATCCAGCCTACTCGGTTTACACGGCCACCTACTCGTCGCCGTTTAGTTACAGTTCGCCAGTCGCGGGCTTGACTTACGCGGCCACTGCTGTCGCGTAAGGCCAAAGCCTAAGAAAATTCATCTTGTCTTTGGAGTAGAAGTCTCGCTAAATGCCAATGACTCTGAAACACCAAACATTGTGAATATTGTTGATCTTTACTAAGTTTGTACAAAAATGACAATAAATATTAAGTCTGTTTCAAATCTATGTGGCGTCTGTATTACTTATCCTCCTTTCATGCATTACGATCCTCGATTATCAAATGAGTTTATAACAGACAAATTAACAATGATGAAATGTAAAAATTGTAAATTGACAACTAAGTGTAATAAATTGTAGCATTAGATTATACCCAAAATTTAGTATGGAGATATTGTTTCAAAATTCGTCGTAACATTTTTATCTAATTTACAATTTAAATAACAAATATTATGGATATAAAAATAGTTGCGTGGCCTATATGAACAGTAAATTAGTTTTGTTATAATTTATAAAAAAAAAAGGAGAAAAGAAACTAGTTCTAAAATAAGTATCTCTATGAGACAATAGTAAAAAAAATCGTAAGAACTGCGAAGGAAATGTAATAATAATATTATAAAATGTTATGAATAATAATGGAATACGTTTAACTAAATCTGACTCAATGGTCAATTTTACTTTGATTATATTATATAATTTTTCTACATATAATTTCATGAATTATATGTAATAAGAATTATTTGTACATATATACCGCCAATATATTAAACCAAATCTCTTCTCATATATCTTACATTTCCTATCATCAAAATGAAAATGAAAAAGATATATTAAATATATTACTAAAATATTACTTAATTCCAAATTCTATCCAATTAAAAATAATTTAATTACCAGATCCAGTATGAATGATGAGGTACATCAGATAAAAAAATCTTATATATATACAATAATCATATTTAAAAATTGGATTCAAAATATAAAAAATAGTCTGGAAAGTTATCAATATTATGTATCCTTAAGATCCTTATATAAGTATACTATTTTATGAAATTATTTGCAGATTGAAAAAATGAATAGACCAATAGAAATTGAGAAAATATTATATTTTATATTTAACACTATATAATTGTAGAAATATAAAGAAATATAAATTAAAAATCTATTCAATTAATAGTATAGTTTTTAATTGATATTTGGTGAAGTACATAGTACTTCTTCATGCTCGATAAATTTCTCTTTTCGATAAAGTTCTAAATTTTTAAACAAAACAAATAATAAAATATTTATCGAGAAAACTTGTTTATCCAAGAAAAAAAAACTTATTAGCGGAAACAAAGTGCATCTCATTAAAAATGCCATGCAATATTTCCAAAAGCCAGTCGATATTCTCAAGATACTTAAGTGCTTTGCATTTTCAAACAGTGATTCTCAAAACATCCAGGCATTGCAACTTCGGCTTTTCAAGTGCAACACGTACAATCCCATTCACTGCAGGGGTCATAGGCTCATAATATGATGCAACAACGACGTAATCTAAAGTAACATCGTGTTACGTTACGCATCTCACATCGAAAAATGCAGCGAAAACAGATGGACGTGATGAGAATTCAAATGAAAATTAAATTGGTAACATGGAAATCACGCCTCCTCGTACACCTTCATTATTCTAACGCCGATAATTCTCGTTAATTAGTATCGAGAGCCTATGCATTGTGAATTACATTATTTTTATACGTGTGTTTACTCTTTTTATACCCCTTTCTTCTCTCTCTCTCTCTCTCTCTCTCTCTCTCTCTCTCTCATTCTCTATAAATCATTTTAAATTTCCCTTTTTTTGTTCAGGTTTTATTTCTTTTTTTAAACATAAGATTTAAGAAATTTTTTTAAATAACGTTGTTTCTTTTATAATTTAAGCTAATAAAGAAAAAATGAACATACAATCAACTCATTGTAGATAATATTGTCATATTATGTAGAAGAATAAACAGTAATTTATCTTGGTATAATACTACTGAATGGAGGTTTAATAAAGTTTGAATCTTAAAAGGTTCATGAATTTTTCTACAATTTAATTCTTGTCAAACTTTTCTTACTAATCTTCTTTTGTAATATGATTATTATAAATATTTATACAATACAAGTAATAATAATATCTATATAGTATTAAATATTTTAATTTATATTTAATAATAGTTTATTTATTTAATACATATACAAATAAGTATAAGTATTAACAATATTTATACTACGACACTAATTATGATAGTAATTTTCAACGAGCAAATGAAATAATTTATTCATAATATATATGAAAATATAACTCAATATTCCTCCTTTGAAGGAGATTTCTCGAATTATTCAAAACGATTATTCAATGTTACCCACGACATATTATAGAAGAAAATAACAAATTATTTCCCGATAGACAATTTCTCAAATCCATACCACGATACTATATACTTTCTTTTTCTTCTTCTACTTCTTCTACTTCTTCTTCTTCGTTAACGCACATATAAAAAAATTAGATTGTCAAATTGATTTAAGCATAAACTTTTGATGCAAACGCCGTTCAAAAGGTATTGGGTATATAAATAAGAGATCGAACTGTCTTAATAATTTTAAAACAATTAATTTTATTAACAAAAAATTATCGCCATGGCCTATTTACAATGGTATCAATTTAACAAAATCACGCAACTGCACATGCAACTCCAGCGAGGACACATATAATGCACGTGTCGCTAAAAATTCGTAGGTAAATAAAAAGTCGTCTAGACAGCGTAGGTCGCGTAGTTGCCGGGGAGTCCTAATCTCGTAGCTACGGCTCGTGGTATACTGTAAGCTTGGTAAACGGGAGCAGCGACGGGTGCAGCGGCCACGGGTGCAGCAACCAAAGGTGCAGCGGCCACAGTCCTCCTGAGCACAGGTGCGGCAATGGGAGCGGCGGCCACGGTTCTGCTCAATAGTGGTGCGGCGATGGGAGCGGCGGCCACGGTTCTGCTGAAGACTGGTGCGGCAATGGGGGCAGCAGCCACGGTTCTACTCAATACTGGTCCGGCAATGGGAGCGGCAGCCACGGTTCTGCTCAATAGTGGCGCGGCAATGGGGGCGGCGGCTACGGTACGGCGAAATAACGGTGCGGCGATGGGAGCGGCGACGGTCCTGGCGTACACGGGCCCGGCAACGGCACCGGCAGCTACTGTCCTCGCCAGAAATGGTGCTGCGACGGGGGCCGTGGCGATTCTCTCGGCAACGATTGGCGCGCTGACAACCGGAGCCGACTGGACGACTGTCTTGGCGACGACCGGAGCGGCCACGGCAGCAACGGCCGGCTCACGGTTCACGACGGCGTTGAAGCCATTGATGGGATCGGCCGTATAGTCGACGATACGTCTAGTACCGTCGGCCTCGATGAGCGAGTAGCTGCCCTGGACGACGTCGCCGTCGCGCGTCTCATATTGAGCCTTGGAGTCCCCCGTAAGCGCATCCTGCACGTCGTAGGCGAAACTGTACTGAGGTGCTGGATCGAAGTTTTCGATTTTGGCGAGGAGAGGACCTGGAGCGATCGCTGCCAGGCTTGACTGGATCGTGCCGATGACGGCAGAGAAGCATATTATAGTCAGCATCTGCGGAGAATACGGAACGTGGAGATTAATTATCAAGAGAATAGATCTGAGTACGTACTGATACTTCTGATGCGCTCTAATTTATAATGTTCATATCTTATTGAGACTCTCTGAATAAATTCACATGGACACGTATAATGTAATCGATCTTTCGTACCAAGGAAAAGAATGACTTAAATCTGGATCATTTAAATGATATTTATGCCTCGGTAATTTTGATTAAAATGACTCGAATTAGTCTGTGAGATTTAAAATTTTGTAAAGTTCAATTTTATTTCTATCCTTTAACATGCTACTAGATAATTTTAATTTCAAGCACATATAATTGTGTCCGTAAATTGACTATATAAGTGTGAACTTTTGATTTGAAGTAAGATTAAGTACTTTATATCTGACAGTTACGATATATGCAATTTTAGAAGTTACAATATCGAAACGCGTGCGAATAATACAGTCCATAATTTTCAATAAGTCAGTTATAACTAATAACATTTGTGTGTAAAGTAACTGTAAGAATTTTGCAAAAATATATATAAAGTCTTTTTCTACAATTCCAATTCTACAGCATTTCACTAATAAGTCACTAACGAAATACCTTGTACGCCATTGCTTCAAATTTTTGACTTCGTCGAGAGAATTGCTAGCGAAACTGTGCTGCCTGCAATCGAAACTGCGAGGAGAAAACTGATGCCACCCGATCGCCGTCCTGGCGCTTTTATTGTCAAAGGATGTCACAACCTTATGACTCCTCCTCCGACGCGGTTATCAAGAATGCGCTGTTGATCACACGCTTGCGCACTCGACCTGACAGCGACGACACCGAGAAGGCGACGCAAGGGTAGCTGGCTAAGGCCGCCTGTCTCAAGGTCAAACCGGGACTAGGTAAAGACAATATTCGCTGTTGCGCGATTCATATTGCTGTCTTGCTCGTATAATTGTCGAATAGTGATACCTTAACAATCTGCATATTTCTTTTGCGCGACAACGGAATATCGGTCCACTTGATTTCATGTATTTATTTAATTTAATTATTTAATTATATCAAACATTTGCAGTTACTCATGTTACAGTCATCAATGAAGATATTCAGGTAGGATTTTCAGTAGCGATTAATTTGGGGTTCGATTTAATAAGTTGCGTAAGTGCTTCATAATATGCGGTAAAACTTATTACAATAATATATAAATACAATGCTAGTAATTCGATTAATTAATGGTCTACGAAATACATTATTAATACCTTACAAAAATCCCTTGATCGAATAACATTTTTGATAATGTTTTTATTATTAATTTGAAACGAGTTATTGTAAGAGTATAGCAAATTTAGAATATTAATGCTATTATTACATTTGTATTTAACTGAACTTACTGAGCATTTACTTTAATAAGCTTGGGAAAAGGAATAAGAATATGAGAAACGAAGATATATATATTCACATTTAGTTAGATTTGAAATATGAGTTTGTTGAAATTTAATCTTCATTATCCAAGGCTTTCGCTAAAAGAAAAAGACATAGTTTAAAGCTATAGACCTTTGTTTCGTTTAAATATTTATTTTAATTATTTCTATATTTTAAATACTCATAATTTAATATCGTAGCATTTATGGCATAATTTGAAGTTTCTAATAACACACATACGCGCGCGCGCAAACACTTATATATATTTAATTTTTTAATAATAATAGCTTTTTTTTCACATCATATTTGTACGTTTAAATTGATCGTTATACTTTTCAATATCTAATACATGACAAAATTTTTAATTCAATTAATGAATAATTGGATTAATAACTTCGATAAAATAATTTTATCATCTGCTTGATGCAACCGAATAAGATTAAGGTTGAAGCGAAAATAAACAATATTTTTTAACTATTATTGTACTAGCCTGGAACGTCCCATTATTCCCTGATCTTTAATGACTTTCTCACTCACTTGAAGAGCACGATATTTCTTAATATAGCGCATTCAAATCAAATATGTCTCCAATCGATTTTATCTTGCTTGACTTTGTTCAGCAATGAAAAGCTTAAGACCGAAAAGTTGTTTTATTACTGGAGAGTTGCATTTACCGGAACTGACATTTAGGATATATTCTTATTGTATTATGCCATTTAAAAATTTGAATTAATTTTTAAATAAAACGTTTCATTGTCATAATAAATAGTAAAATTTGCTTTTTACATTATGTATGGGAGGGAGGGAGGGAGGGGGGTTGTACGTCTGTGCGTGCGTATGGAGATATATATTTATATATATAGATATATAGATACAAACATGTAAAAATTATATGAAAATTTATTTTGCCTTAATGAACTCTGTATATTAAATAGAAGCAATTTGTTTTGATTATACCTAGCTCAAACGTACTAATAGTTAATGATCATTTTTCAAATATAGAAGTATTAGAAGCAACATATGAGATTGAAATGTTGAATAACATAAATTAGTTTAAGCAAGTGTAACTACTATGTCTATGATAATAAACGGTAAGATTTTAAAGGTTAGTTTGTAAAATTTAATTTAATTTCTCAATTTGCTTTCAGATATGAAATAAAATTTTTTAATTATTAATACGTTTGGAATTATGTTCAATACTTCAATACTACACATTAAGTAGTAATTATATCTTTCTTTTCAAACGTTCGAGGCTAATTATTGTCAAAAGTTTTTTGTTGAAAACTTTTTTCTATTGGTCAAATTATAAAAAATTAGTAAAATAATTTATTTGAGAAAAATTTAATAATACAGCGATAGATTTTGGTACAAAACTTTCTCTCCTCGCCACTAAAAAACAAAAACAATTTTTCTTCCAAACCATTGTTTTTTCTAACGTGACCAAATTATACAAAATCTACATCGCTGATTTATCTCCCAACCCATGAACATACACGATTTATCACGTACTTGTATTTGACGAGATTAACCGTATGCACGCTAATAGAAATATGAATTAAAAGTCTGCCAAGTGCTCAATCATTAAAGAATGCGGGCAAAGTAAAAGAGCAGCGACAATGAGTTCAAAAAATCCCGCATACGTAATTCTGCAGTCTCATTGCCATCGCACTTTGAATTTCGGGACATTGGTATGCGAGCGCACACTTTTCGTACACAGCTTCAAAATATCAATGCCTACAACATTACCCAATGCTCTTCACTCACGGAGGATATGTACAACGATTGAGTGATGGTAATTTTCGATATTCACGATAGGATACACCGACACTATATATAAAAATGTCGTTAAATCTCGGTCGCATTTAGCCGTAGACTCTTATGCGACTTTGTGTCTTTATTTCTATTCTATTTCTTCGATTAATTTTAATTTATGACTAAGTGCATGTTTATTGAATTTTATAAATAATAGACTACTTTTTTACTTTTCATAGATGCTTCTCAATTATTCAACTAAATCTTATATAATTAATCATTTATCTTCTGCAGAGAAAATTGAAGTAGTTCTATAAACAGTTGTCGTTTGCTAATTATCGAAAGTATTAGATTGCGAAAATTTTTTAATTGATATCACTATCGAATAATGTAAGATAATCTGTCTTCTAAAAAAGAAAAAAAAAACTATCTTTGCAATATTTCTGAGCATTATTATTAATATTATATTTGATTAACCTACTTTTAACATAACTAAATATATATATTTGTATTTGGTAATCAGTTTAAAAATATTATCAAAGTAACAACTTCTGATATCGGTATTTATACAATTTCCAAGAGAATATTTACGTCAAACAAAATTATAATAATATCTATCAAGGATTCTCGCTCATATTTCTGAAAAAAATTTTTATAAAAAGTAGTAACAAACATAAGCAAATCATTTATCATATGGAAAATACTCATTAATACCTTTGATTTATTTTCCACCGTTAATATGAATAGTAAAAGAATTTATCAAGGATATTATAAATAATTTTACTTACGTTATTCTACTGTTATCTTGAAAATTTGATTAATAGTAAATTAATAGTGAATAATTAATAAAAAGAAAACATTTGTGTATAAATAAAACAAATTTTAATTCAATTAGTTTATTTTCGATATAATTTATGTAACATCTAATTTGTTTTAAATATGAGATTGAATATTACATAATATTAATACAAAGTACGAACTCAGTACACTAGATATAATGCTAAAAAAATTTTAAGTATATACTATAAAATGCGATTTATTTATAAAAAAATAATAATAGTTTTAAAAAATGTTATATTAACCAGCAGCATAATTAGCGTTTTATGTTGAATATTCATTAAAGAAAGATTCTTCTACTTATCTAAAATATAACTACTATATGTAAAAGAAATTTCATAATATGGTTTTCTACTTTCTCTAAGACGTTAATATTGCAACAATCGTTCAAGGTTATAACTAAAATGATGGCCATAAATGACATTCTTTTACTTTTACTTTCTATTACAAATTTTAAGATTCACAACAACAACAACAACAAAAAAAATATATATATAGAAATTCCAAAAACATCGTCATATGATTATGGCTATTTAAAAAGTAACTAATAATTATTGATTTTTAATTACTATTTATTGACATATGTTGACAAAGCCAGCAAAAATATGTAAGTTTATACACATCACTTTTATTTATTTAATTTTCGTTTTGTTTTTTTTTTTTTTTTTTTTTTTTTTTTTTTTTTTTTTTTTTTTTTGACAGAAACATGAATAATTTTGAAATATAAAAAGAAAATAGTTTTATTAATAATGAAAAGAAACTATGTTTAATCTTTTAATATTACATTATTATGCCCTCAAACAAATAATCAATACTATATTTCGCAAATAAAATTTAATATTTTACTGATTATAAAAATCGAAAAATAATAATAAGGCGTATAGTTATGTGAGCGAATTATTTATTCATCTCATATTCCTGAGAAATGTCATATACCGTGAATAACTTACAACAACTGATCATACGACATAGGACCCCCGAAAATTGGCACAGGAACAATGGGCTACTTAAGTTCGTATGTACATACGAATCGTTGTAATTGTTTTTGTTGTTGCGTAATGCTGTTACGGCGTAACGCGACAACCTTACGAAAGTACACAATGCGAATGTCGACCTTCGACTACGACAATTGCTTTCCTAATGAGCTCGGACAAATCCGTCAACGCTCGGATGAAATGACGCTTTTGGCGATTATTGTTATTGGATCAATCATGGCTCAATTGATAAGAAATTTGTATTATTATAAGTGCAGATATGATCATATCGCTACCAGATTCCAATTTATTCGTTTTCTCTCTTACACATGCTAAATGTTTCATAATATCCTGCTATGTACTATGTATTACAGTTCGAATACTATTAATAAAAAATAATATGTATTGCTTTTGTTATTCCATTTTATTTCTAAATTATTTGTAAAATAGTTGTCAAATTAAGATTAATCAAAAATAATATTCTTTAGTTTCCTAGGCTTTTTTCTAGGCTTGATTAACTATACTACTTAAAGATGAATTTGAATTTTACTTAAACTTGTTGACAATAAATAAAACTTTAAAAGTTAATAATCTAAATCTATAATTTATTGTAATGAATTTTAATTCAATATCTCTTAATTGATTTAATAATTCACACTATAAATATCACAATAGTCACTAATTTACTTTACTACTAAGTGCTAATTTACTTATATAAATATAAAAAATTTTCATTCAAACTGTTGTTATAACATTTCAATTCCAATTACATAGAGCAGTTATTTTCTATGTTAATAGTATATCCGAGAAAAAGATTAAATGTAAATACAAAAATAATTATACAAAGATATTAAAAAGAATATCATTTTATGTATTAGTTGTACGTGAGAGAATTTGAATACTTACACATGTTTATTAGGCCTATTTCGAAATGTCTGATCAAAAGGAGTACTTATCACTAGTGCGAACTTTCACGATTTGCAAGTAGTTGTTTCCTAGATTAGGCAGGCATTCGCATTTATCCATAAATGTCTCTTGCAATAGGAACGTCAAATTCCTATGTTTTTCATATTTTTATTGTAAATCTTGCAATAAATAATTTTGAAAGTCTATTTTCTATTCAAATTTGCATTTCACCATTTGCTAAATATATAATTACATTAATTTTACATTAATAAAATATTATAAAATTATTAAATTTATAGATATTCTATAAGCAAAAATTCAGTTTATAATAATTGTAAGACGACATTTTAATATAATTATTTTAATATAATTATTTTTAAAAACCTAGCAACAACTCAAAAGTTAATGGAACGATTAAAAAATAGATATAGGATTATAAACTTTGTATATAATACTTGATTGTGTCTGTTTGTAAAAACAGATGTTAAGAATATTCGGAATAGAATTTATACGTTCTATGATGTATATTATAAAAATTAATAATATTTAATAGAATAAAATTTAACTTTCATTATTATTTAAAGAAGATAATTTAATTCTTATAATCATTTTTTAATAAATTAGAATGCAAGGACAAGTCAACATTATGGTTTGGTATTATTAACATTAAATTTTCTTATTACATCTCCAAATGAGTTCCTTAACAAATTTACATCTTGAATCATTTACATTTATAGTTAAAAATATACAATCTTTTTAATAAAAATATAATATATAATAAATATAATATGTATAATGAAAATTTTTAATCACTTTTTAATTTGACATGTTTTTATTAAATACATATTTATTAATATTATTTAAATTAAAATGTAAAGATTCAAGGAATATTTAAGAAGATAAATTATTCAATAAAATCCTTTTACCTTTGCAACTATTGGAGCACAAAAATTTTAATAAATCATAAATTTAAATATTTACTTATCGATAATCTTAATACAATGCAACTATCATAAAAATATCATAAAAGTATCATAAAATTATTTCAAACTTTGAATTCTAGTAAGGTCGAAATAACATTAACGAAGAAAGAAAAAAAAATTAATTTAATCATGATTTATTTTATTAATCGCTTAAAGTACATCATCGATATGAATTTAATTTTAAACTTATTTATTAAAACTGTATTTGTGTGTCCGTATACTTTTACAAATATCATAGGTCTATCATTTATATATAGTTAATTTTTAACGTTATGAATAATAATAATCATAAACAGTAAAATATCCCTTGCAATATGAAAAAAATTATTTGTTAATTCAAATAACATCAGTAAATACATGATATTTCGAGTCCTTCAAATATCATCCAGTATATCACGATCAACTTCTTCTTCCTCTTAAAAAAACATCGCGTTTAAGCACTTCTCATACTTTTTATACAAACATCTGCATTGTTCAACAAAAGCTTATACATAATACTTTCTATTAATATCCGTTGTCATACCAGATAAAATGGAAAAATACTTGATAATTTGATAAGGAAACATGCTTGTAAGTCACCAATTACGTAACATCGATAAATACACAAGTCTTGTGTATATACAGATGACGTTCCATCATAAAATATGAGTCCGATGCCAGTGACGATTGTATCGCAATGTCAATTGATACATGAGTACCAATCGGAGTACGAACCGTAGCATTAGCATACGCATTTACAAACCTGCCATGAGAGCATCTCGCAAATGACTCGACCGAGACAGCGTCAATATTTTATGGCAGCGCTTTTCCTTTCTTCCTTTTTCTCTCTCCTTTGCGCTCGTTCACGAGCTGCTGCAACGCAAGAAACGCGCGCGGACCACTTGCGAAACGTTTTTGTCCACATGGCCCACGAAATGCGTTGCAGCGACGTATAAAAGTCTAAGTTTCGAGTCTAGCAGCATCAGTCTCATTCCGGACACACAGACAAACATGGCTCTTAAGGTTAGTTAATAGATACTAATAACATGTCGGATCGTGAGCTAAATTCACGGACAGTACCGTAAAGTAGCTTTCCTATCGAGTACTAAGCACACTTTATTGTCAACTACGTATTATAAGCTATTACGTACGTTTTAAATCAATAATTTTCAAAGGTTGAGAATATTTCGATAAATCGAGGCAAATCAATGTATTAAAGTGATAAATCAAAAGTAATCAAAAGTCGAATCTGCCATTCCGAACTTAGAGGCTAAATTCAATGCAAAATTAAAGCTTAAACAAACTTGGAGATGTCAGTATTATTGAAGCCAAGTAACTTTCGTGCTGTAAATTATTGAAATTCTAAGAGAAAAAACTGATACGAAATGAATCATCTCGTTTAAAGATCAAATTGCTCATTTGAACGAAAATAAAGGCAAGTTTTAATGTACTTGGTCGGTAGTAATACAATTAAGAGCAAAATTAAGTGTGCGCGATTTTTACAGATCGGAGACAAAAATTATAAAAACAATGATCATATTGAAGCAAATACTCTTGGCAATAATAACTTAAATAAAGACATCATGACTTATCAACGGTTAATATTAAATTATATTACCCGCCCCTTACGTTAAGCACGTCAATCATTAAATCTTAAGCCTTTAAAATCCTTATTACGAAGCCACATTCATTCATTCGTCATCAATGTAAAAAACAATTTCAATTGACGTTTGACAAAGAGCATAATGACAATGAACAGTGCGTTTAACTTCGTTGCGTCCCAACATCGAATCCTGCATATACACCACATACATCTTGCTTATCAGTAGCCAACGTCTTACAAACCTAAAAGCATTTTATAAGCTAAGAAAAGGACACCCTTACATATACATCCATATTTCTCGCATAGCTCATCGTCTTCTCGGCCCTGGCATTGGCCTCGGCATACGCCGGGATTCTGCCCGTAGCATTCGAGAGCCCGGTCGCCCCGCTGGCAATACACACGAAAATCGTGGACCCCAACCACGACCCGCACCCCCAGTACAGCTACTCGTACGACGTCCACGACGCGCACACGGGCGACATCAAGAACCAGCAGGAAACGCGCGACGGCGACGTCGTCCAGGGCAGCTACTCGCTCGTCGAGGCCGACGGCACCAGGCGCACCGTCAACTACGTCGCCGATCCTCTCAACGGCTTCAACGCCGTCGTCCACAAGGAACCGGCTCACGTCGCTTACCACGCCCAGCCTGCCATCCTGACCCATGCCGCCCTACCAACTACTTACATCGACACGGGCGATTACGTTCCAACTAAATACGTCTATCAGCATTAAGTTGGCAACTCCAACTTTCGATTAGTAGTGCCTCGTTAACGCGCCGCTCTTATACAGTTTTATCATTAATAAAAGCTAATCGAGATTGTATATCGCCGGCTTCTAGTCGCACGACACTGTTTATTGTATTTTAAACTCTCAACGGGCATTGTTATAAATATTATCTCAAGTTATAATAAACCTTATAAAATCTATGAAATTTATTCTCACCATTGCTTCTTATGAAATGCCTTTCACTTCTCACCATTTATCCACAAGTCTATTAGAAATCTTGTATTATAAAGCCTTTAGAGAGCGCATTTTTCATGAAACATCTTGAAATTAATGTCTTACGATTATTTTTTTTATTAATAAACGACATTTCCGGTTAAATCATATTTTTATTGATTGTGTTTCAAAAGTATTGGGGAAGTGTTGGTTGTGCGTGCGTCGGCAATTCTACAATGAAATTTCATTCTAAAATACCTCATAAAGGCCATTAAATATTGAATACTACTTTAAAGTACTGATTTTTTAAGCAAACATATGAAAACAGAAAAGCAGTAGTTATTTATTCAATTCCACTAAATACATGTCAATCGTGACGGCTGCGGTTACTGATAATATTTTCATGATGTAACACTATAAGTGTGCAACCTTTGCCCAAACACAGCCAACACTTTATGATATCGATCGATAATCTTACGATGTGACTGTTGATTTATTGTTCGACCTTGACATAAGATCATTATAGTCGAATTTTCTTTATAACATATTTTGTAATATCTTATTAACCAGTGTGTCTTAACCACTCTATACATCACATATTTATTTGGCCAATAAGTAAATTTATTAAGATTGCATTTTCTATTAGAGTCAAATTATACAAAAAAATATTTATATAACGCGATACGTCCTTAACGCTTTAATAGATAGTTGAGAGTGTTGCACAACACGTAGAAACTTCCGCCTTTGGTAAAATTTTGATTACATTTTTTAGTAACTTTCACAGTTTTTCTTAAATAATGATATTTGAGACTATATTTAAGATTCTTAATAGAATTTTATTGAATTCCTGTGCATGGTAATTTCATCGAATTCTTGGTAAGTATTTGAGTAATTGCATACAAGTTTTTTCAAAAATTGTAAATTCCTAAAGAGTATCAATAGTTCTTTGTTTAATTATAATTATAATCGCGCGCAGCACCTTCCGATAAAGCAAATATTACCACATTCAGCGATGTTTGTAGTGTGAAAACCGATGGGAAAACATGTGTTAGTCTCATTTAGTTTTAGTTTCTTTTGTATGATTCCTTAAAATATGTTAGAACATATTTTTTAACACAAATGAAAAGTTCTCCAATGATATAAGAATCTATGTTAGAGCGTTAAATATAAAATCTCCATACAAATCTGAATATTTATAAAAGTATTTTTTTTTTATTTTTTATTTTTTTTTTAAATTTAAAAGAGACTTTAATGTATTAGTTCAACTTGTGTAGTACTTGTGTAAAAATTAAAATAATATATAAATGTTTATATCATTTAACATGCACTGATTTATCTAAATACTAATGTATCTGAAATTCATTAAATAACATTATAATTCTTTTAAAATTTTTGGTATTAATACTTCACATTAAATATATTTTCTATTATTTATAATTTGAAAATAAATCAATTTAAGAAATTGAATTCCGTGCATCGACAGTGAAAATAAGAAGTAATTTAATTACAATGAAATTCAATACAATCTGTATTGCGGTGTAAATGTCTTTGAGCAAATACTATTCCCGAAGCCATCGTCAACCATACTGTGCTTTTAAAATTACTCATTACGAACGTGACTTTCGTTTCATAAGGCAAACACTCATGCATTATCGTTTTGTAATAACTGCCAGTATGCATGCATGTTGGATGAAAAAATTTTTATTCTACGTAGAAAAACCAGTTTTAACAGTATAAAATATTTTATATTTAATATCATACAATGTATCAGTAAATAAATATACATTTTTATTTATTGATAAAGTGTTTCGACCCTTACATTTCATTTCAAGCTAATTTATTTCCAATGAGAAATTGCATTATGATCTATACAAATACTTACAATACACCAAATATTATTGTATATATGATTATACTGTAAGTTACGGCTTGTAATTAATATAAAAATTATAATAGATTTGTGTATGTGTAGATTTTTTATAAAAATTCACTTATACATAAATATATATATATATAAATATATAAACAAATTGTGAACTAAGACGCGAAGATGTTTTCTTGTACTTAAAAATCGCTTCTAGTATTAACAAAGATTACCCATCTTAAAATCTATACAAATCAATAAAACTAAATTTCCTTGTAGTGTAATATAATTACTTGTATAAATCAATTTATGAACTATAATAATAATTTCGTGCATGATTTATATTGAAATTGAATAGTAGCCCGCTTAATTGATAAAAAAGAAAATTTAACTTTTTATTAAAATAACATAGGAATTTAATCTTAACAAATTTAAATAAAAATAAGTTTAATAATGTATTGAATTATATAAATAATATAATAATATAATAAATTTTATTAATTTTTGTGTTTTATAATAAAATCATTACTATTTAACATAAGGTAAATTTAATTTTATTTACATAATTGATAAATATATTACAACGAAAGTACAATGAGCATACAGATTTATTTATACATATTTTCGAGCTAAATGATTCGCTTATCTCATAAAAAAGCAAATATCTATTTACATATATAGATCATATGATATGGAGTAACCTCCATCTTATTTGGTTAGATCAATAAACCTATTCAAATATACTCTATGTATATAATACGTATTAATCGAATAATAGTTTCGAAAAATTATGTCGACATTTAAACAGAGGCTTCACGATATTTTCAAGCGATTGTCGACTTTCTGCTATTAACTATTGCAACTACAATTATTTTAAAATAACTTCAAAGATAGAAACAACTTATGATGTATTATAATTTTTTATAGGAAGTTCAAACTTAATCGCTGGCTTCTCATAAATGTATCCTTGACTAGAATCGTCACTGTTTTTATCATTGCTGCCAATGTTTTCAATAACTTTCATCTCACTGGTTCTTTTCAAATCACCATTTAATTCTATTTTTTCTTCTTGAAGCTTATGAGTACAACCTGATAAAGCATCTTCGTAATTATAAGAATTCAGTCGATGATTATGAAGTTTATGGTCAACTTGCTGAGGCTCTTGCGAGACAATTATGGGTTGATAATATTGTTCGATTTTAATGTTTGAACTGTCAAAATTTTGCTGATCATTAAATGGCTCATTGAACTTGGCAGGTCGAGTGTGATCGATCTTAATCTCATTATTTTGTGAATGATCCACATATTGATAGTGATGGATCTGTAATCGAGGAACATGACGTTGATCTAATGTAACTCTTGAATGACTATAGCTTGGCTGTGAAGTTTGAGGTTCTTCGATGTTGACAGGTTCGTTCGATTTTACTTCAAAAGGTGGACCGTATACAGCTGATGGATTATAACTTAAATCATTATTCTCTCGATTATCGTTTAATATCGAATCATTATTTGGCGCTTCTAAAAGATTAGAATGCCCGAGGTGATGTTCTAAACTAGAAGCTCCTTGTGACATGTGGTTAAACGCTGATTGATTAATATTATTAATGTCTTGAATAAGTAAATTATGTTGTTTAAAGGATGGATCACTGATATTTTTATCACTCGTTTCGCGAGAAGCCTGAGCTTGGGGATAATGGAGTTGAACTTGTTGTTGAACAAATTGATTTTGGTACTGTTCATTATGTCCATACTCCTTCCGCACAATTGCATTAAATCCATTTTGGCTATCCGCTGTATACTCGACAATTCTTTTGGAACCATCGGCCTCTACTACAGAGTAATGCCCCTTTACGTAATCTCCATCGCGTGACTCTACGTGATCCTTGATATCACCGGTGCTCGCGTCGTGAACTTTGTAAAAGAAGTTATATTTTGGCTGATGATGGTATCGTACCTCATTATGGTATTCTTGATGTAGCTTTGCGTAAGGATAAGCATATATACCATCTGTATTAACGAGACTACAGTGAGCGGCTATCAATGTGCTCGTGAACAATGCATACTGAAAATATAAATAGATCAATTAATTGAGATCAATTTAATTAAAAATGTATTCATTATAACTATAGATATTATGAATTAAAACAGTAAGCAAATTAATTAATATTCTAAGGAAATATAAAATTTTATTATATCTCTTCGATATTAATTAAAAGTAACTAATAATTAACTATATTTTTGAGACATAAATTAACGTACTTAATGAAATTTATACTAAAATCTAATGTGTATGGGAGTATTATAACGTATAAATAATCGACAATAAAATAATACCAATAGCCATATTAAAAACTTTGACACATACTAATTAACGATATTAATAACTAATCATATATAGATTTTTTTACAAATTTTTATGAAATTTAAACAATCAATTTACATGTCATGTTTATATATATGTATATATATGTATATACAAATGTATAAAAGAATATATAAAATACAAAATATATAAAATATATATAATATACAAAATATATAAAAAAAATGTATCTATGGCAAATTTTAGGAAAATATTTTATTAATTTTTTAATTATTCATTTAATTTATACTGCAAACAAATATATATTTCATTTTTTTTAATTTACAAAACATTTTACAAAATAAATATACTCTGTAATATAATATTATTGATGTATTAAATTATTTATATATAATAACATTTATACTTTTTATACTTTAGATAATAGTAATGTCCATGCACTATTTTTATTTAAATTAAAGACATCGTAATTCCATCCAGGATAATATACGGATAATACGATCCAGAATAATAGTACAAATTTATATACTCTATTCTCTATTTACGTTCAAACTACGTAAAAGTGTTCTATGCTTATTTTTTCACGAAGCTTTTCAAATGAAAAAGATCTAATATACTTTAATGTACTTTCAATGAAAATTATCGATTTGATAAATTTTTGTTAATTATACGTCGGTCGTTGTTAATTCAATCCATTTAAGCTATCTTTCTCACCTTAAACATTTTTCTTAATTAAAATAGATCCAC